CCAAATCCAATCTGAACATTTTTTGCAGCCAACCTTAATAATAATAACACATGTGGCAATATCAAATTAGCTCAGAATGATTTGGAAAAGATTGTAAAATATTAGGAATTAACAAATGAAATACAGAAATTATAGAATGAAATGGTGGAGGTTTTCCCAGTAATTATTGGAACTTTAGGAGCTGTAACAATAGAAATGCCTAAAAATGGATTTTTTTCATGTCTTAACATTAGGTTTGCATAAAAACAAATTGCGTAAAAGCACATCTACATTACTTAGGTTTGGGATTATTCTTAGATTGGGGATAAAGCTTGAACTGAACCCAAAGATTCAGAATTTGCTGAACATTTTCTTCAATGATAGCATAACAATCCTATCAATAACAACAACAATTTGTTACACAGATCTATCGGTGCTGGTTTTTTTTGCCCCCTTACAAACCAATGGAAACATAATACAATTAGAGTGTACCTCTCCCTGTGTCAAGGTTCCAAATAGTATCCTCTATGAAATAATACCTCGAGAGAAGAAGTTCCTCAAAACACCAATTTATTAGAAGAGCCAAGTTGGCACATCTGGGAAAACCCAAATCTGAAAGCTTCCAGGTTCCCTCTCCCCCCCCCAGTTGAAAATTCAAGACCCTGACCCAAGACCCACAAATTCATCAAATGGTCCAATCAGTTACTGCCATGGATGAATATTCCTCCCATCCACATCCATCCAGGTGCAGGGATAAGGCAACCTTGACTTTCTGAGAAGGAATATTATTATGGCTACACATCTCCCAAGCTCCATACCATCCCCACTCCCAGTTTCACATGGTAACTGTTCTGACCCCTGCCCCTCTGTACCGTGAGTCACGCTGACACAAGATGACTGTTAGCCAATTTATTCACAGTAATTAACTCACAGACAAGACTTTGGCAGCAACCCAGATGTCCACAGATAAGAAATACACACAAGAGCTTCTCCAGTTTTAGTATAACAGTTGTGTCCTGCAAAAGGTCTCCTCCCAAAGTCTCTTCTTATATACTCTCTTGGGAGGAGCCTAATCACAACCATCTGGGCCCAATTATCTTCTATGTCTCCGTAATTGCTGCCGGCGCTTCTCCGCCCTTCTTTGCCTGGTGTCCGGGACCAACTCCCTTTGCTCCTCCCCACTGCTCCAGGGCCTGACATCAGGGACAAACTCCCTTTGGCTTTCACTGCTGCTCCATGCCTCAGGCGCCTCCTGGTGGCCAACCAGCCTCTCTGGTCCCTGCTCGGAGTCTGAACCCTGCCCAGGGTCCTCCACATCTTCCATAGCAGACTCATAGGGTCCCTCGCTACTGGAGTCTGTCGGCAGCTCCAACAGCTCCTGCTGGGCCACAATAGGTAACTATGTTTGAATATGTGGAAGGCTTGAGGCCCTATCCTCCAATGGCTTCCAAGCTTGACACCCTGTTGATTCACAGATTGTAACAGGTGGGAAATAACAGGTTTCACTCAGCTTGTGCTTAACTAAATGCGCACAAATGTACTGCTAATTTAGAACAAACTGATTCATAGAAGTAATACATCATCTCCTTCCCTAGAATCAATGATTAGAAATAATTGAGGCTACCAGATTAAATCCAGGCACTGTGTGATTTCTTTTTTAAATAACTTGAAAAACCCCTGGCAGAGCTAGATGCCTGTTGGTGGTACCCATGGTCCAAAACAAAAAAGATAATCTCCATGTATTACTGCACAAAAGTCCAAAACACATACTCTGCTAGAGAGAAGTTCCATGAAGATGAGCTCAAGAACAAATCCAAAAGCTCGGAAGACTAAACCTCTGGTCCTGGTGACCATCCCAGATTAGATCCTGCAACATTATCCTGGAACATGTATATTCGCCTTCAGTCATCATATCACACACTGCACAAAAGAATTTCTGTTAAAGTATTCATGACTGGAAGACACATGGGAACAAGGTCAGCCAATGAGTGGGCATAACAACTACCATATTTTTCAGAGTACAAGATGTACCGGCGTATAAGACGTACCAAGGTTTTGAAGAGGCATTTTTTTTAAAAAAAGTAGGTAGGTAGATAGAGGGATAGAGAGAGAGAGAAAGAGAGAGAAATACAGTAGGTAGGTAGGGAGAGTGAGTAGTTAGGTAGATAAAAGGTTAGAGAGAGAGAGTCAGCAAAAATGACTCTTGTTTTTGGGAGGTGGGGCAAAAACGGGCCATTTTTCGCTCACTTCTGCCCTACGCAGCCCCCAGGAGCTCACTAAAAGCCTCCATAAAGCTATGCACGGCCATTTTGGTGAAGGGCCAGGGCGGGGCTTCAGGAGGCAAAAAATGCTGTATTCAGTGTATAAGACGCACCCAGATTTTCAGCCTCTTTTTTGAGGCAAAAAGGTGTGTCATATACTCCAAAAAATACAGTAAGTCAGCCAATAGGAGCTTAAATAGATCTGAGTCTGTGCAGAGAATTGAAACAGAAACTTAAGCAGTCTGCTGCTCTGAGAAGTACAAGGTGCCTGGGGTTGTTTTGCTGAAATGAAACTACGGTAACTGCTTGTGTTTCCTTGTAAGCAGGAACCTTGTGTTTACTTGGAAGAACCACCTGTTGGTATTGTACATTTATTCATCTATTCTTATGTATATAAATAAGTCTTACTAAGAAATAATTAAACCTTCTCTATGATCAATCCAGAAGAGAGAGACCTCCTACAGTAGATTAAATTTTTGCTATTTGTTTTCCATAGCCATCAATACAAGTGTAATCCAAGGCCAAATGGTCAATTCCATTATGAGCGTTCCTTCCTTCATGTTGTTTCTACTATGCTGAACTGTAGCTGATGTCAGATTCTTAGTTTTGCTTTTTTTTAAAAAAAAGATAAGTTCAAGGGAAAAAAAAGGTAGATTAAAAAAAGTAAGATTCTTTTAAACCAATTCCCTCGTTGGCAACATACATACAAAAGCTATTATAGGCCAAATCCATCTGTTTCCCATGATGTATAAATAAAAGTACAAGCTCGCTTCTTTGTGTTGAAGAAAACATTCCTTTCAATTTCTTTTTCTGTAAATAATGTGATGGAAAGGCCAACTGACAATCAGATCTTTAACGGGGCAATCTTTAACGTGATGATTTAAGGAGCTTAGGGAAAGCTAGGCTATTCAAATTTGATATGGAATGTCCATTTGTGCTCAAGACTTCATCTACTGAGGAGGTCTACCCCTGTAACTCCAAAGATGAGGTTTTGGGGAACTCCAACTTTAGGCAAAAAGTTCATTTACCAAGTAAAGCTGAAAATCTATAAAATGGGAGAGATTTCTTGCTATGGAAGATAATCATTACATTTTCATAAAAGATGAAACAGGATCTGGAGAGAGAAGGAGAGGAGGGAGGAAGAGAGAAAAAGAGAAGGAGAGAGGGTAGGAAGGAGAAGACAGAGGGTAGGAGTAGGGGATAAGTAAGGGAGGGAAGAAGGGGAAGGAGAGGAGGAAAGAAGGAAGTAGAGAAGGAAGGGAGGGAGAAAG